ATGGACCTATTTTTACACGTAGCACTCAATTTAGTAATTTCTAGATGCTACCGTTGACCTAATTTCATTTAGTCATTTAAGTAAAAATTGTCCTTTCAGTATGTTGTTTTCTTGGCCTTCCATTTTAAAGGTTGAAGTTTCTAACAAGAATTAAGTGGCCGGGTGCAGTGGCTCACGCCTGTAATCCTCACGCTTTGGGAGGCTGAGGCAGGCAGATTGCCTGAGCCCAGGAGTTCAAAACCAGCCTGGGCAACACGGTAAAACCTCATCTCTACAAAAAAATTAGCCGGGCATGGCGATGTGTGCCTGTAGTCGCAGCTACCTGGGAGGCTGAGGCAGGAGAATCGCTTGAACCTGGGAGGCAGAGGTTGCAGTGAGCCGAGATTGCACCACTGCACCCCAGCCTGGGTAACAGAGCGAGACTCCGTCTCCAAAAAAAAAAAAAAAAAAAAGTTAAGTACCTGTTCAGGAAGCTGTAGTCGGGGCCTTCCCCTTGTGAATCAGGGTTCATTTCAGTACCGCAAGTAACAGTCAGAAACAGAACGTGGAGTGCTAAGGCAGCAGCCCAAACACCGTCAGACTGTAATTGGTGGCGCTGGGAAACAGCTGCCCTGTTAATTTTTTAAAGACAGACGTTTGTTCTAATGAAAGCCAGACTGTTTTTAAAGCATCTGGCGGGAAGTGGAAGGCTGGATCCAAGCCCTTGTTCAGATTTGGTGCCTGCTAAGACGGGGGTTTCTCTTTTTGCGACCTTTGTTACTGTTTTGTTAACTGTTGTAACCAGATAGCTGTTGTGTTTTAAGATAGAAAGGAACAAGACAAACTGTAAATACTTTGTAAACAGAAGCATTTGTACTTGATAGTAGGATTTTAAAGGGCATTGACAGCCTACCAAACAAAAGGCAAAATAAAATGACCTTTTAATACATTTTTTTCATTTTGTCTTTCATAGAAAACTAGTATTTAAGTTCAAGTAAGGTACCAATTGGGGTTTTTATTTGTGTGACAAAAAAACAAAACCGAGCAAATAATGTTGAAGTCAGAGGTGTTCCCCTCACCCACTCTTCCGGCCACAGAAGGACCCAGAAGGAGCAGGCATGCCCGAGGTTTCCCGGGAAATCACATCCACCGAGACCACCTGGCAGCTGTGGAGGACGGAGCTGGTGCCGCCCTGCCCCGTGTGGCCAGCCAGCCTCACAGCGCCCATCACTGCCCCACACTCCATCAGTGCTCCTGAGAAGGGTGGGGCTACCTCCTGCTCACACGTGCTCGACACTGAAAACGCCCCTGAGCAGCTGGCCTGGGAGTTGTTGCTTCTCTTTTTCTTCTGCTTGTGAACTTCTTTTTTGTTTTTTCACTTTTTGTTCTTAATCTGATTATAAAAATCAATGCATACTTTTAATTGGAAATGCATACCTTGTGCAAAGCAAAGAAGCATCCCAGAAGCCCCCGGTTGCTTTCGGTATCTTTTCTCCTACCACAAGAATTGGGGTGCCCGAGGCACGTGGCCCTGCAGGTTTGGGCTTCCACCTCACGTTTTCCGGATTGAAAGCTCCCAGGCTCTGGTTGCACACTTGGAATCTGCAGGTGATCGTGCAGATACCAGGGTGGGCAGAAAAGCCAGCTGTGGAGCCTGGCTAGTGCTCCCTGGCCCCTGGGGGTCTGCACTGCAGTGCCCAGTGCACCTGCGCTCCGTGCCTACCAGCTGCATCACTGAGGCAGGTGGCCACCACCCCCTCTCCTAAGGTGGCTTGAGGACCCAGTCCCATGTTGGGTGCCACACTCAGTGTCTTGTCTCTTTTACGCTCAGTGGAGAATGCGGGTTTTGCAAAGCCTACTGTTTCTGTCATCCTCATCCCACCCTCATGTCTTTGCCAGGTGTGCCTGTGGCAACAGGCCCCAGGGTGGGCTTATCTGGCCTTGAGGCTGCATTTTTGTTTGCTGTCCGGTGGAGACCAGGAGCTGGTGGGTGAAGTGATTGTGCCTACCCACAGCTGTCGACCCTAAGGGAGCCTCTGAGCCCAGAGTGTGTCATGCCACCTACTTAGATGTCAGATCCTGTGACAGCTGCCACCAACACCCTGGAGTTGGGCATTGTGATCCAGGGCAACGAGAGGGGAGATTCCTTTGCCATAGGGTGCCCTGCCATGCTGTTGCTGCAGCATCTATTCCCCCATGCCAAATTCTTCTAAAGGTCCCATTTTACTGGGCAGATTATGCAATATACATTCGGAGGAATGCAGTGCAGCCACAACAAACGAGTAAGTACAGCCGTGTGTTCTGCTCGGGGATATGATTGTGAAGTAGGCCACCAGGATGGAGCTGGTGGTTTACCTGGATGTTCGCTGAATACCCTGAAAGTATTTGGCCCTGCATTTGGTGGATTCTACGTCCATGAGTTCAACCAACCAAGGATCGAAAATACTCAGAAACAAAAATGTGTCTCTGCTAGTCGAGATGGCTCCTGCCTGTAATCCCAGCACTTTGGGAGGCTGAGGTGGGTGGATCATGAGGTCAGCAGATCGAGACCATCCTGGCTAACACAGTACTAAAAATACAAAAAATTAGCCAGGGCCGGTCGTGGTGGCTCAGGCCTGTAATCCCAGCACTTTGGGAGGCCAAGGTGGGTGGATTACCTGAGGTCAGGAGTTCGAGACCAGCCTGGCCAACATGGAGAAATCCCATCTCTATAAAAACAAAAACAAAAAGACAAAAAAAAAATTAGCCAGGCGTGGTGGCATGCACCTGTAGTCCCAGCTACTTGGGAGGCTGAGGAAGGAGAATGGCTTGAACCTGGGAGGTGGAGGTTGCAGTGAGCTGAGATGGCACCGCTGCACTCCAGCCTGATTGACAGAGCGAGACTCCATCTCAAAAAAAGAAAAAAGTGTCTCTACTGAACAGACTTTTTTGGTGGGGGTGGGGCATCATTATTTCCTAAGCAGTGGTATGTAACAACTATTGATATGGCATTTACATTGCATTTAGTATTATAAGTAACCCAGAGATGATTTAAACTATACGGGAAGATGTTTGTGAGTTATATGCATTTTGCATCAGGTGCTTGAGCCTCTCTGATTTTGGTATCCATGGGAGGTACTGAGGGAGGATTGTATGTTGTGTTAGCACTGCCTCTGTGGAAGTAGAGACGGGGGGCAAGGATCAAGGCCTGCTTACTCTACACCGTTTTGCACACTCTTTAATTTGTTTAGGTAGTTTGCCAAGTGCATGAACGTTTTTTTGTGCAGTAGGGGTATGGGGATGGAGTTTCTGTTGCCAGGCTGGAGTGCAATGGCACAACTCGGCTCACTGCAACCTCCACCTCCCAGGTTCAAGTGATTCTCCTGCCTCATCCCCCCGAGCAGCTGGGACTACAGGCACATATCACCACACCTGGCTACTTTTCGTATTCTTGGTAGAGACGGGGTTTCGCCATGTTGGCCAGGCTGGGCCCGAACTGCTGAGCTAAAGTGATCCGTCCACCTCATCCTCCCAAAATGCTGGAGTTATAGGTGTGAGCCACCGTGCCTGACCATGAATTAATTTTTAAAACAAGGCCCTATCAGCTTTTTTGTCACGTGGCCCCCTCCTTGGGAACCTTTATTCAGACGTCCTGCCTGATCCTGTGTGGCCGCCTGCACTCTGACGGCCCCGAGCAGCATCGCTCTGCCCCTGCTCAGCCTTTCCTGTCTCCCTGGCTTTGTGCTCTCTTCTCCTTTGTTGCGAAGTATTTCTCCTCCTTCGAAGACCACCCTGCAGAGCTAAGCGCGCGTTCAGTCGTTTCTCCCCAGTGTCCTGCTTCTCCAGTAGTACCTTGGGCTGAACGATAGTAGTTGTGTCTTATTTCTCCAGCTGCAGTTGCTTCTGTTTTATCCCTATTCAATGAATTATTTTTTATTTATTTATTTATTTTTTAGACGGAGTTTCGCTCTTGTTACCCAGGCTGGAGTGCAATGGCGCGATCTCGGCTCACCGCAACCTCCGCCTCCTGGGTTCAGGCAATTCTCCTGCCTCAGCCTCCTGAGTAGCTGGGATTACAGGCACACGCCACCATGCCCAGCTCATTTTTTGTATTTTTAGTAGAGACGGGGTTTCACCATGTTGACCAGGATGGTCTCGATCTGTTGACCTCGTGATCCACCCACCTCGGCCTCCCAAAGTGCTGGGATTACAGCTTGAGCCACCGCGCCCGGCCTCAGTGAGTATTTAATGTAGCATATTTCATGACAACTTTATCACTAGTGCTGGAATGGGGGAAGATCAACACTTGTCTGTTCAAGAAAATCAAAGCTGATCAGAGAGTGAGTTGGATGAATTACTGGTTTATTCAGCTTTTTATAAAGGGCATAGTATGTGGCAGTTTAGACAAGTAGGCTATAGCTGTGAGCAAAATAAAAAAGCGGTTTGCATCCTAGCAGGTCAGATGAAATAACTCGGGGATACATACTATGAAGAAACAGGCAGCGGCAATAAGTGCTACGGGGTTCACTGTAAGTGGATGGGCGGTTATGCAGGGGAAGGCTGCCTGGTGGTCCAAAGCTCACCTGTCTAAAGGGACATGTCCCACCATTTCAGTGGTCACAGGCAAGAGAAAGGGCTCTTCTTGTGGATCTTCGGATCCCAGGTCACATCGCACTTTCCTAGGCACCCCGACTCCCCTGCCCAATTTAAAACTGGCCGCAGCCCGCCCCACCCAAGCCGCTCTGCCTGGTGCTCTTCTAACTGCATGTTTATCTACCCTCCCCGCCTAGACTGTAGAGCCCACGAGGGGAGCGGCCAGCTGTGCTTGTCAGTGTGGCCGGCGCTCAGCACGTGTCCAGCGGACCGGCAGGCGGGCAAATACAACTCACTGTCCACGTGCGAATGAATGAACGCACTAGATCCGGGCGGACGGGGCCCTGCGTCCAGCTTCGCGCCCTGCCCAGCCCTCCCCCCGGGGCCTCGGCGCCGATTGGTCCGGGCCGCGCCTGCGCAGTGCCGGCCGGCTGCCCGCGTGCGCACTGGCTCCGCGCGGTTCGGCCGGCTGGGGCGGGTGCGGTGGCCTCGCCGCCGGGTCCGCCGTCGCAGCGCTCGTCCGCGCCGGGAGCCCTTGGCCGCGTCACCCGGCAGCCGCGGTGAGTGACGACCCGCGTATCCGCTGCCGGGACGGGGCGGGCGTGAGAGGCCTGGCCTGCCTTCGGCCCCCGGCAGCCCGCACCCGCCGGTTGCCCTCAAGACTCCCCCACCGGACGCGCGCTCCCCTCTCTCGGTCCCATCCTTCGGTGACTCCTGGCTGGGCGAACGCCCACCCCTCCCTCAGGCACCTCCATCCGTGACGACCCCCCGTTAACGCCCACCTCTCCCTCAGTGACCCCTCCCCCCCGGGCACGACCCCCTCCATGAACCGCCACCTCTCAGTGACGCCTCCCCCCGGCACGTCCCCCCCATGAACCGCCACCTCTCAGTGACGCCTCCCCCCGGCACGTCCCCCCCATGAAACCGCCACCTCTCAGTGACCCCTCCCCCCGGCACGTCCCCCCATGAACCGCCACCTCTCAGTGACCCCTCCCCCCCGGGCACGTCCCCCCCATGAACCGCCACCTCTCAGTGACCCCTCCCCCCCGGGCACGACCCCCCCATGAACCGCCACCTCTCAGTGACCCCTCCCCCCCGGGCACGTCCCCCCCATGAACCGCCACCTCTCAGTGACCCCTCCCCCCCGGGCACGACCCCCTCCATGAACCGCCACCTCTCAGTGACGCCTCCCCCCGGCACGTACCCCCCATGAACCGCCACCTCTCAGTGACCCCTCCCCCCGGCACGTCCCCCCCATGAACCGCCACCTCTCAGTGACCCCTCCCCCCGGCACGTCCCCCCCATGAACCGCCACCTCTCAGTGACCCCTCCCCCCCGGGCACGTCCCCCCCATGAACCGCCACCTCTCAGTGACGCCTCCCCCCGGCACGTACCCCCATGAACCGCCACCTCTCAGTGACGCCTCCCCCCGGCACGTACCCCCATGAACCGCCACCTCTCAGTGACCCCTCCCCCCCGGGCACGTCCCCCCCATGAACCGCCACCTCTCAGTGACGCCTCCCCCCGGCACGTACCCCCATGAACCGCCACCTCTCAGTGACGCCTCCCCCCGGCACGTACCCCCATGAACCGCCACCTCTCAGTGACCCCTCCCCCCGGCACGTCCCCCCCATGAACCGCCACCTCTCAGTGACCCCTCCCCCCCGGGCACGACCCCCCCCATGAACCGCCACCTCTCAGTGACCCCTCCCCCCCGGGCACGTCCCCCCCATGAACCGCCACCTCTCAGTGACCCCTCCCCCCCGGGCACGACCCCCTCCATGAACCGCCACCTCTCAGTGACGCCTCCCCCCGGCACGTCCCCCCCCATGAACCGCCACCTCTCAGTGACCCCTCCCCCCGGCACGTCCCCCCCATGAACCGCCACCTCTCAGTGACCCCTCCCCCCGGCACGTCCCCCATGAACCGCCACCTCTCAGTGACCCCTTCCGCCCAGGCAGGACCCACCCCATGAGCCGCCACCTCTCCCTCAGTGACCCCTCTCCCCGGCACGACCCCCCCATGAACCTCAATCTCTCCCTCAGTGACCCCTCCCACGCGGCACGACCCCCCCCCATGAATCGCCATCTCTTACTCAGTGACTCCCCCTCCCCCGGCACGACCCCCCCCGAACAGCCACCTGTCCGTCAGTGACCCCTCCCCCGACATGTCCCCCTCCGGTGAATGCCTACCTCTCCCTCAGGGAAAACCTCCCACCCAGCACAACGCGCCCCCCATGAACCGCCATCTCTCCCTCAGTGACCCCTCCCCCCGGCCACGACCCCCCCAATGGACCGCCGCCTCTCCGTCAGTGACCCCTCCCCCTGGCACGTTCCCCTCCCGTGAATGCCCACTTCTCCCTCAGTGACCCTAACCTCCTGACATACCCCCTCCTCCCGTGAACGGCCACCCCTCCCTCAGGGCCCCCACCTCATGAGGCACGAGGACCCCGTGAATGCCCACCCCTCCCCTGCGACACGACCTCCCACCCCCTCCTCCCCGTGAACACCCCCCCTCAGGGACCCCTACCCCATGACGACCCCCCGTGAATGCCAGCCCCTCCCCCCGTGACCCATCCCCCTTTGACCCGGTAACTGTCCCTTCCTCCTCCTCCCCCCTCCCCGCCCCCGCTCCCCTGTCATCCCATTTTCTGGTGACCGCTCCCCTCCTCCACCCCCATGACACAAACCCCCCTGACCTCCCACCCGTTCCCTGGTGATAATCACGGTGACTACTCAGCTGGCAACCGTTCCTCCCCCGCCCCCGCGACCCTTCGCGCTGTCCCCTGGTGCCCACCCAGTCCCCGCCGCCAGCCTGGTTCCAGCCTCACGGGCCTGCTGCTGCCTCCCTCCGGGCCCCTGGTCCGGGTGTCCTGCTGCCTGAGGTCGGGCCGGTCTGCACTTAGGGTGTGTGAGCACGAGCAATCGAGTTCATTCCACAGCCTGCCCCTCCCTGCTCGGCAGCCCCCCGGACCCCGAACCGACGGCCGCTCCCGGGCCTGCTCCTGACAGGCCTGTGGGGACTGGGAGTGCTCTGTTAGCGGAAAGGAAGAAGCTAATAATACCAGCGCCTTTACAGTAAAGACTGCGCATTGGCACCTTGTATAATAAAGACATTGATCTTGCCCAAGAGCTGGGTGAGTATCTCCTCCTTACCAGAAAGTCGGTTTCCCTGCAGGTGGACCGGCTGAAAGTTTGCACGGCTGCGGGCGGGCTGCTTGGCTTTGGTTCCCTCGTCGCATGGATCGCCGTGCCACCGGCTGTTCCGTGCTCACGACCTTAGTCTTGTCTGGGAACCACAAGCGCGTGTTGTTAGCACAGCTCTGCAGCTCCAAGGGTACGTGGCAGTCCACGTGCCGTTGCCTCCCCTGCCCCAGGGGATAGGGTCCAACCCCCGCAGTGGACGCCTGAAATCTAGGACGGTAGTGAACTCCATATATACTGTTTTTTCTTACACATCCATCCATACCTATGGTAAAGTTTAATTCATTAACTAGGCACAGGACGAGATTAATTGTAGGGTCAAGCCCTACAGGGTCGTGGGGTGTCCCCTATCGCTGTGCTGAGGCCCTGGATCTGAGAAGCAAAGAGACAGGACAGGGACTAGAAAAGACAGCTGGGCTCCTCGGGGAGCCACACCACCTGTGAGTGGAGACAGGCGAGGCCCCGAATGTCCAGAAGCATCTATATTTATTGGATATAGGTTAGGGGCAGGGTAGTGAGTGAGGTCATCTTAAGGATAGTGATAGGGTCAAGACAATCACGTGAGCAGTAAACAAGGGGTCCACCCCCATTAGGTTACCTAGGCTAGGAGGTGGGCCGTGCGCAGTGAAGAGGGTGCAGCGTGCAATATCTCTTACCTAGGGGCAGGCTACTTCTAAGGGATTCTATAGGAGGATGCTTTGAGCAGCGACAGAGCTGACCAGGGCAGGCGGCTTCCAGTGATTTCTACAGGAGGACGCTCTGAGCAGCACAGTAGCTAGAGAGCTGACAAGTTACACAGTCACCAAGGCCGGTTATACCGCAGGGGTTTTCAGCCCTCGGACATTCGCAGGATTGCCGTTCAGAGGGCAGCCTTCCGCAAGAACTGGAGCAAGGTCCTACAACTCCTTTATCAGGAGGAGTGGCTCTCACCCCAAGCCTGCCATACAGCGGCTTTCTTTACCATACTGAACGCTGCCGCCTGGGCCATAATTCTTGTCCTGTATAACTGTTTTCCCTTAAACCATGCTCTGCACCGTGTCTGCTCTAGGCATTCCTCCGACCGTGAACTAAGATATAATTATGTGTATATATTGGGAAATAATTGAGTAGTAAGACATTCTTCAGGCACTATTTCTATAAACTAATGTATGATGATATATAATATATAATCCTAACAAAGGATTATATAAAGGGAATGACTAGTAACACTGTAAACTAAGACATTCTTCAGGCACTACTTGTATAAACTAATATATGATTATATAAACAATTATATAAAGGAAAGAACTGAGTAGTAACACTAAACTAAGACATTCTTCAGGCACTAATTGTGCCAGGAATCCGCTTAGTTCTCCTCCCTTGGTGCCCAGATGGGGGATTCCCCACATTAATAATAGCTAGTAATAAAATAGAGCAATCGTAACAATATACTGTAATGAAAGTCATGTGAAAGTGATGTCTCCTAATGTATCTTTGAACTGCAGCTCACTGAGGGTTACTGAAACCATGGATAAGCAGAGACTCACAGTAGTTTCTTTTTCAACTGTGGTACTGAGACTTCAAAACTCACTAAATGGTTAGTTGAATGGAGTTGTCCCGGGTGTACGAGGTGACAGCTGCAGCACAAGGTATTTCACTGACGTGTCTGTCATGTTTTTGCTAAACTAATACACTTTTAAAAATTACTATTTATGCTGTGTGCAGTGGCTCATGCCTATAATTCCAGAACTTTGGGAGGCCAAGGCAGGCAGTTCGAGACCAGCCTGACCAACATGGAGAAACCTCTTCTCTACTAAAAATACAAAAAAAATCTACTTAGGAGGCTGAGGCAGGAGAATTGTTTGAACCCGGGAGGTGGAGGTTGCAGTCAGCCGAGATCATGCCAGTGCACTCCAGCCTGGGCAACAAGAATGAAACTCCATCTCAAAAAAAAAAATATATATATATATATAATTTATAAAAGTGTGTACTGCATGTTGAGTCACAGCACAGACAAGTAGAATCCCTAACGCTCAGGGAGAGATGGCCTTGCAGAGTCTTTGTGCACTGCTGAGCTTTCCTGGCCATGATTTTAGTTACTCCTGGCTCCACCTCTTCCCACTTGGCCATGGATATGCTGTCATCTGATAGCTGTTATGACAATAGCTGTCACAACTGCTACACAATGGTTACGTTTTAGGACTTGAATGTTGGTGATAATGGAATAAAGGGCCTGGAGAATAATGGGGTGCTGACGCATTTGCTGGGCGGTATTTGTGTATTTGAAAGAGCACTGAAATGCATGGTTTTGGGTGTTGACTCTGAGAAATATGGGGCATGACCCATTTTGAATAGGAGAACAGAACGTTTTAAAGTGA